AACTTGGTGCTGCTCACCCTCTCCACAGTCACACCATTGACGGACAGAGGAGCATGCTGAGTGCGCACTCTCCTGAAGTCAACAACAATCTCCTTCGTCTTCTCCACATTCAGAGAGAGATTGTTGTCACTTCATTGTTGTCATATTATATTAAATATTATTATTATTACTATATTATTATTATTATTATTATTAAAAACATTTAAACAGCTTTTTAAATTACATATAAAGTTCTGAAAATCTATAAGTCAGTGGATAAATGCATGAATTTTCATTTTGGCTGCATTATTTTTTCTTTAAAGACTCAAACCAGAGTTGCCCTGTGGATAAATCAGAACAATGCAAAACTGACCTGACCCCATTCGCTAAACATACATACATTTTGAATGCAAATTCACACACTTAAACGCACAGACGCACACACACACACACACACACACACACACACACACACACACACACACGCACACACTTCTTGTTCTACCATCAGATCTCATATTGGTCCCATTTCCTTTCTTTTGAAATTTCTTCTGTTCACTTCCTGATTTCAGATGTGTTCATTGTGTGTGTTTATGTGTGCGTAGTGTCCGCTGTTGTCCTGGAGGGCACAGCATGCAACTGAATGAAATCAAAGACTAACACGCCACATGTTCTCAAGTGCATTAATGAGAAAGCCCAAGAAGCGTTTACAATCGCACACGATGGCTCAAAAACAATCCCGAAACACGTGTTCGCAAGTTAATTATTTGTTTCCACCTCCAAATTGGCTTTGCTTTAGTTATGTCGGGATTGTGGTTTCGTGAAAAACGGCATTCGCGGTGTCTTTGGGTGCCATTGTGCTGTAATTGCTCTCAGATGCTCTTTGTGTTTTATTTCTGTTTACTCTCCAGTGGAAACAGAAGTTATGACAGGAATCAAAGAACGCGGCACGCTTTTGTGTTATTGCGGCATTAAACTAGCAGTGCTGCATACTTGTACCACATGTTTTCAACCAGGTTCTTGTATTTTTGCCGCACAAATGTTTTCTCGAGTGCACAAGAAAGAGTGCGGCTTTCATGCAGGATTGTTGCAAAACATTGATAAATGAGATGTAGTCTCAAATGTTTAGAGTGTCTCGTATAAAAGACAGCTGAGCACACATAAACGCATATGTCTGCCATCTGCAGGGTTTGTGTTTATATAAGATAATCTTATTAAAGAGGTGGTCATGTGATAATTGAAGAGCGCTTGTGCATCAGGCTGGGATTTCAGAGTTATCTTCTCTTTAATTCTATTTGAATTGGCCCATCCTCACCGGCCTCAGGTTCGCAGGGACGTCCGCTGGGATTTACAGACCACTTTAACTGTTTTTTTTACACTAAACCTGAACTTTTCTCTTGAGTTGTTTACTGTTGAAAGCTCAGCTGTCTTTGAAGTAAATCTCTACATGACTCCTTTTACTGATACTCTTATTGTTTCCTAAAGCTTTTACAGTGAAACTTTACCTAAGTTCAAAAGCGCAGCATATATGTCTGTTTTTAGTCACTTTTATTTGAATTCTGATTTGTACATACACTACCGTTCAAAAGTTTGGGGTCAGTAAGATTAATTAATGCTTTTATTCAGCAAGGATGCATTCAATTGATCAGAAGTGATAGTAAAGACATTTATAATGTTACAAAAGATACTTTATTTCAAATAAATGCTGTTCTTTTGAACGTTCTATTCATCAAAGAATCCTGAAAAAATCATGGTTTTCATAAACATTTTGTTTTTTGACATTGATAATAAGAAGAGCATATTAGAATGATTTCTGTAGGATCATGTGACACTGAAGACTGGAGTAATGATGCTGAAAATTCTGCTTTTTATCACAGAAATAAATTATATTCTACAATATATTACAATAGAAAACAGTTATTTTAAATTGTAATAATATTTTTCCAAATATTACTGTTTTAATTGCTTTTTTGATCAAATAAATGCAGCCTTGGTGAGCATAAGAGACTTCTTTAAAAAACAATAAAATATCTTACAGAGCCCACATTTTTAAAAGGAGGGTATACTGTATGTTGAAATTGCATCCACAAAAAACCTGAAGTTCAGGGTTGCCTTATTTAGTAAAAATGAGATTCTAAGTCAAAATAACATTAAATTTGATGTATTTTGTTATTCACATTTTTTAAAAAAGGGCAACCCAATCAATTCGTGGCATATATTTATTGAACAATAAGACTGAAAAAATCTCCATGTTGTACTTGAAGGCTTCTCTATGTGTCACTGTGTTGTTTTTATCATTATCTGTGTGGTTTCAGCTGACGGATGGAGGAAAGGCTGCTAAAGCGGGAGTGGCTGTGGGAGATCTGGTCCTGTCCATCAACGGCATCAGCACTGACAGCATGAACCACCTCGAGGCTCAGAATAAGATCAAATCCAGCACAGACAAACTCAACCTCTCCTTACAGAAGTAAGAATATGCATGCACTGCTTTGGTAATGGTCAAAAATAATTTATTATGCTAAAAATGACATAAACAGTTCATTTAGGAAATTGTATTGTCCACTGTGTACGAACAGTATATACTGTGCACAGCATGCAAATTGCCTGTATGCACAGAATACACAAACAACCATTTGCGCAGTATACAACAATGCATGGAATACTATATTCCACAATGCAATGAGCTTGCATTAACCTTCCATTGTCAATGTGATGAACAGGGAAGTGATATTAGCATTTTTTATTTTCTTCTTTGATTCATTATTTGGAAAATAAATAAATAAATAAAAAGATTGTTTTTATATAATTATTTATTATTTTAATTTTGTTCAAATATTTTTTTTTTTTTAAATATTTTGTATGTATTTTGTATCTTTATGTATTATTTATTATTCATTTTTCATATCTTTTATTTATGTTTAATGAATTCATTCATTTTTATTTATATATTTTAATATATGTATTTATTTTTACATTTATTTTATTTTTATTATTTATTTATCATTGATTCATTTTTAATTCATTAATTTACTTTGTTATTTATTTATTTATCTATTTATTTTTCTCAAGATGATAACTGAATGCCACTCATTGAATTGAACATGCAATATGAGATCATGTGACAACAATAGAGCATACCATTCTACTGTTTGAAATTATTTTTATCATTTATTTTTTTAATTCTGAAAAGTAGTTTGTTATTTATTTTGTATTTTTATTTTCATTTATTTTATTTTATTATTTATTTATGTGTTATGTATTACTTATTATTCATTTATTTTTTATTTATTTATATATTTTAATATATGTATTTTGTATTTATTTTATTTTTATTATGTATTATTTATTTAACATTCATTCATTTTTAATTCATTCATTTATTTTATTTATTTATGATTTATTTATTTATCTATTTATTTTTCTCAACATGATAACTGCTGAATTAAGCATGCAATGTGAGATCATGTGACAACAATAGAACATACCATTCTACTGTTTGAAATATTTATTATGGAACAATGCCTTTTATTTACTTTTTTTTTTAATTCTGAAAAGTAGTAAAAAAAAGTCTGCCGTCAAGCTCCAATCATGACATAAAATGATCATAAATGTAATATTCCAAAGCATATGATAACTTTATGTGAGGAACAGAATGAAATTGAAATGTTACTGAAAATCTTGCCACAAATTTAAAAAGCCCTGGCAAAGCTAAAACAATCAGACTTGCATCATAACAGTGTCTTTGAGCCGTATGCTAACTCGTCTCTCTGACCCAGTGCTGTCATGTTGCACAAGCGCAAGAGATGAACACAACACTTACAATCGATCTGTATTATGTGCAGGGAACTAGTGGAGTACAGTTGTCCAGACTTTTGACTGATTTGCTGTGTGTTTGGGAGCAGAATAAGTGTGTTTTGTTTTCATGTGTGTGCCAGCTTCCTGTTTTCCAGTTTGGTCCACTAACGGAAAGTTTTGTCTCACTGTCAAGCCATGGGAATCACACATGCACATGCTGACACACAAGACAGACACAAGACAGAGAGACTGGGTTTGCTCAGCGGTGACAGAAAAACACTCAAGTGCTGCTCTGGTGGAAATGAAAACATCAAGAGAGAGACTGGCACTGACGGACAGATACATGAGCTGTGTCAAACATGACAATTATGAGAGAAAATACGCTCAAGTGTGTGTGTTTGTGTTTTTTTTTAAATTTTTTTTTTAGAGAGATATGCAAGGACGCCTTTCTTGAGAGTTACGCTCAAAAATATTTAGGCCTAAATTTATTGCATGTAAAATTCGCATCCATTTGGATGGAAATCATGTTCATACTTTTTAACTGAATAAATTGAATTATTTTCACAATTAACAGATTTATACTGATTTGAGGCAATTTAAATACATGCATTTTGAAAATATAATTATTTAAATAAAACCAAACGGATGCAAATAACTAATAATAAACTATGCCATTATTTTTTGAGTGCGGAAATCTTAGCTGTTTCTTACATATTTCCTTAATGTATGACTGACACGCATGCATCTCATTAAGTTTATTAGTTTATTTATGTTAAAACTATGTAATCCAAATTCATGGAAATTGTATTTATTTATTTATTTTATATGCAATTCAAACACATACGTCTAAAAATTTAGGTCTAATAATTATTATTATTTAATTAATTAATTTATTTTTTGGAGACAATTGACTTCATCTTACCCATATTCAAACTGACACTGTGCAGAGTGTTGTTTTGATATGTAGTGATGGTAAACTAATCACCTCTCAGTTTTACTGGGGATTAGTATTAATAGAACTATACCAGTATCAGCACCATCTGAAACCAGCGGTGTGTGTGTGTGCACGTGTGTGTGTGTGTGTGTGTGTGTGTGTGTGTGTGAGTGTGTGTGAAAGTTAATGAGTGAAGTGTGATATGCAGACCTTCTTCATGGTTCATAATTCTCTACGCAAGTATGTTAAAGCAAATGCTTCTGTCTACATAAGTTTGATTTCATGCATTGTGGCTTTCTGAAATGTGTCAGTGCAGTGCAATTCATAGTGTTGCCTCTAGAGCAGTGATCCTCAAATCTGGCTCGCGAGATCCACTTTCCTGCAGAGTTTAGCTCTAACCCTAATCAAACACCTGAGTTTGCTAATCAATGTCTTCCGGATCATTCGAAAATCACAGGTATAGTTGTTTGATTAGGGTTGGAGCTAAACTCTGCAGGAAAGTGGATCCCGCGAGCCAGATTTGAGGATCACTGATATAGAGAACCAGGAATTTTCACTACAGGGTGCATAAAGAAGATCTGTAAAGTGGCAAAGACTAAAGTCTCAAATACAAAGAGATAGTCTTTATAAAAGTTCAGAGTCAATCACGCCTACCTAAAACGGCTCGCTCTAACACGCCCCCACATATCTTTTTTAGCTGGCCAATCAGAGAACACCTCGCTTTTCAGACCAATGAGTTTTGTAAAAATCGACGCGTTTCAGAAAGGCGGGGCATAGAGGAGAAACAATAATGTACAGTATGTGGAAAATAATGTATTTTTTTAACCTTAAAACGCATAAACACATTTCATTACACCAAATACACAAAATAATGTTCTTTTTAGCAACATCATATGACCCCTTTAACTAAAAGGAAAACCATTAAAAAAAACATTTTTGTTATTTGAAATAAAATAAACATTGAATAAAATAAAATATTTAAAAATGTAAACTTATATTATGTCTAATTTTTATTTGGTTTACTACAAAAATATACAAATCAAAACTAATAGATAAAATTGAATAAAAACTATATACACATATAAAAAAATAATTAAAAAATTTAGTGTTAGTAATTGTATTATTTTATTATTTAATTTCAGTTAGAGAGCTGCTATAAACACGTTGGCATGACGTCTCTCTTCAAACTGTTGCTCTGTTTTGATAGTAGTTGACCTGAAAGAGAAAACTTTTGTTGCATGAATTGCATTTTGAAACATTTCAGAATGCAGTGATGCATGAAATCTAGCTTGCAGAAAAAGATGTGTTTGAATTTATGCACTTGGAGTAATGCAAGGAGTCAAGTTTTGCAGTTTTCTCCATTGACAGCTATTCAACAACAGTCATGCTCCATTGAAATTTTTGCAATATCTTTTTCTTTTCTTTTTTTTTTGGGAAGCAACACATAATTTGCAAATATTTTGACATATTATAAATGTTTGGCAATGAAATAGACATGTTTCCTGTCTGTATACACATACAGCAGTGATACTGTATGTTTTAGTCTGGGTTATCAGGTTATGTTGTGGTTCAGGTTTAGTTTGACCTCTTATGGCTTCCTATTAAAAATATTTTATGTGTTATTTGTAATTACAGCAGCCTGCAGGTAATGGGTAATTTTATTCATTAAATGCTTTTGCGTGAATCGGAAACTGTCGAGAAGTAAACAAAGAAGCAAGACACTGCGAGACCAGACGTTTGTATGTTTCGGTGTGTTGATGTGTGCGTCTGTGGGTCTTTTAGCACTAATGGAGGACACTGAGGTTTTATTGGAGAAGTGCTGTGGAGATGCCAGACTGGGCTTCAGCTGCTGTTACGCTGGAGAGATGTGGAGTTTTACAGGCGTTCTGTTGATTCTCATAGATGACAGTAGATTACACAGAGAGAACGAAAGACTCCATGTTAATTAAAAGCACATGCAGTGAATGATTTTATTGTTTTTTTTTTTAATTATTTCAGTTATTTTTGGTTATTTTGGAGCCAGTGTCACTGCTGTAGTTCATCTCACTTACTGTGAACTCACACAGATGCTCATATCAAGTCCATTTCTAATGCTAATTTCTGTTTGAAGTTATTGATTGATTGGCTTTCCATGTTATCCATTTATATTTATTTACTTACTTCTACATTTATTTATTTACTTACTAATGCATTTATTTATTTTCCATGAAGCCCATTTATTTGTTTATTTATTTATTTGTTTTCCATGAAGTCATTAATGTTTATTTACTTAATTATGTAATTATTTATTTAATAAATAAATAAACGAAGTCCATTTATTTATTTATTTATTTATAATGTTATTTTCTTAATACCTAAATATTGATAATTTGACAATTTACACCACCTCTCTGACCCTTAGAATTAAATATTTTAATTATTTAAGCTGTTTTTGCAGCTTAGGTTAAAGGGGAAACAAGTTTTCTGGTCCCATTGAAAACTTTTTTTTCTTGTTATAAGCTCAGTCTTCACTAAATTGTTTGATCTGTAGATAGGATGTGTAGATATATTCACTTATTATTTTTTATATAAATATAACATGCATGTTGCATAATATGCATATGAGCACAGGTGTAATATGTGCTCTAATGACATTAGAGACACTATTGGAAAAAAGCTGGGCCTATATAATAAAAATAAATGGGAGAAATCATTGCTTTGTAATTTATTATAAACTGTGCAAGCATAATTTATAATGC